TATTGTACATTCTCCTCTGCTTATGTTCTATGAATTTCTGAAGAAGGCAGGTGCATCTTAAGTCTGATGTCTCAGCTTTGACCACGCAACCTTGGGGATCATGCTAGGAGTCTAGCCTCCTGTTGTTATTGTTGTCATGTTCCCTGACACTCATACACCCTCACCAGGTTAAGGTGTACAATAGGGATGGGGGAGGGTTCTATAATGAAAATATTAAGCTTTGTGAACAATGGTCCAATCATTGTAATGTTCCTACAAGCTAAATTGCTGAATGTTTACTTTTCAGACTAAAACTGTTTCAGGAATGAATATTCAGATCAAACAGCAGAAGAAGCAACGCAGAAAGTCATATTTTGAGTTGAGAAGGAAATTTGGCCTCTTCAAAGAGGAGAGAGTGTATCTAAGAAGAATACCTGTATCACTTTCTCTTCCAAGTTCAGAAGAATCTGTGTGTTCCAGAAGTGTACAAGCAAATGACACCTGTGACTTGTGTAGAACAGTACCTGTTACATATGGATTCAGAGAAGAAGAAAAGGTATCTGAAATGTTTAGATATGTTATTTCTTTCTTATATGTATTTAGATTTTGTTGACATAGATCTACATATTATGTGCCAAGGGTAAAGGAACTCATAATGGTTGGCTAAGCTATTATGTCATCAATTATTTCTAGATACCATGCAGTACAGTCTGCATGAAGACAGCTTGGTTTTGAAAATCCTTGCTCAGGAATAGTATAAGGTGTGTGAAGAGAAAATAAAACTGCAAAATGTGGGGCATGGATTGCAGCAGACAGGGGAGTGAGATAGAGGACTGCTAAAGACTAAAACAGGAACTTGAAAGGATATGTGGAATAGGTCAGCTGTGTAAAAACATAAAGAAGATCCAGTGAGGAATATATGGGGGTTAGGGTGGCTAGTGCCTAAGGGCACTTGGCTTTTTCTAAAAGACCACTGAAAATGGTGAAAGAACTCTAGACTACTGAATGTAGGTCCCATTGAACTTAATAGGACTGGACATACCATGATAACGCCAGTGGATTTCAGTGATACAGTTGCCTTAACAGACTGGATACAATCAATTACTGTACATATGGTCATGGTGAATTTGAAAGTTTTGTTACTTGCCTTATGTATACTAAAAGAGGAAGAACCTTGGTAGATACTGAGTCACTATTAGGAATATAGGACTACTTGTTGATCTGGCTTGGTAATATCTGCTACAGATTCTAGGGAAACAGGTTTTAAATTTGGAGCATTGCACATACTCTACCATTAATTATGATTCCCTTGCTAATTTTGCAAGTAGAAGTCCCCCCAAAATTCATAATGACATTTTTTACAATTTTATAAAAAACATGCTTCAGGAACTGGATCATGTTTCTTTATGCTCAATTAATATTTTGCAACTGGGTTCAGGACTTTATAAAGGCCTTTAAATTGCTGTTGTGATGTTTGTTTTATTTTTAACAATGGGATTTATTTATAAAGCTAAAGTAATTGAATGCTTGTATGTTATCTTAATACACAGATAGTTAAGGAACAAGAAGAGCTGAATATAAAGAGAAGAATAAAAACATCACCAGTATTAGAACATGCAAAGAGGAAGAAGACTTTGAACACAGACTCGGAATCTTACACAGAAGTGGATAACCAAAGTAGTACTTGCGGACAAGCTGGATCAGAACAAGAAAGTCCTACATGTTTGCTGCAATTATCTGAAAGTTTGGACCCTGGCTCAAATCCTTGTACTCCAACTAATGAAGAAGACATGTTAAACCCTGATTCACATTGCTCTGACAAGGAACCTTCTCTCAGTTCTTTTACAGAAGACGGATTTCCATTTAGCCCCCCAGACGTGGAGGAAACAATTAGAGATGAAAAAATAACAAAGCTAAAACTCCTGTTGAGGGAGCGAGAAGTGGCACTGGAAGAGTTCCGTAAAAAAACACACTAGACTTAACAAATTTATTCCTTACTCCCAAATTCTGCTGTAAACTTTGCTTTTTGTAACTTTTTTAAAAAGTTACCTGTTGATTTTCAGAGTCTGGTATTTCTATATTACCTGGTATTAAAGAGTGCAGGATTAAATACCTGAATTTTTCTGATTGAAATTCTAGGCTTTTATTCCTTGGCACTGAATCTCAAGGAATAAAAGCCTAGGATTTCAGCCAGAAAAATATAGCTTGCATAAAATGTTATTTGACTAATTCAGTACATTTTTACAGTAATACAGTTTGTATTCTTTGGTATAATTACATCAGATTTCTTATAATGAAAGGAAAGTAGATAGAAGCTTCAGGTACTGTTTGCCTAATGTTTGAAGAAAATGTGCTAGCGTAAGAAGATGGACTAGTCTAAATCTGAAGGTATTCGTGGAGTTCATCTTTAACTGCTATTTGAATTGGGCCATAAACAGTTTCTTAATGGAGTTTCCTGAAATGTACTTCAGTTGTTACTCTAATGTTTCAAAACATTGTAGTCCAGGAAATTCCTGTTTGTGCTACCAGTTAGTTTCCCCAGCCATTGTTCTGTGGCAATAAGGCTTGCTCAGTTAGTCACAGTACTGTTGTTGTATCATACAGATATATTAGGCTATTTCTCAAAATATGTTTTGTATTTCTATAAACCTTAAGGCTCCTCATAGCCTGATACCTCATCCTTGTGTCCAGCACATTTAGAGGACTCCAACTTGGGGAAGGCTAGCTTACAATAATTATTTTGGTTAAAAATATAGTACCTAGTACATTCCTCTAATAAAATGTGTTTTTCCAGTTACCTAGCATTTAATTCCTATTATCTGTTTGCAAATTTATTAGTGATTTGATGAACACATTCTTATGTGGCATTTTTCAGTGTCTTTCTGTGTGGTTCAGTAGAATTTAAATATCTCCAGAGAGGTAGATTTATGATGCAGGAAGATATGCAGTGATGTTATAAGCATTGAACAGAGATTTAAAAAGCAGATACATGTTTCATTTGTATGAGGAAGGAAAACAGATCTATTTTTCTGCAGGAAATTTCAAGGAAAAAAAATCCACTTGAGGTAACTATGAATTCATGTAGCCAATTTGAATTCCATTGACATGGGCAACAGTAATTATATACAGTATTTGACAAATAAATTTGTAGCTTCTGTCTGTCTTGGTTGCCTGTGGTCTTTGAACCTCTGTACATGGGATATGGAAGATGATTTTTTAAAAGACAGCAGGTCTCAGTTAAATCCAATTAAAAAGTTAACATGCTTATTCTAAATCTTACTTTTTTATATGAACTGGTTAATAATTATAGTAATTTCTCCTTCTCAATTTATGACAGGTTGAAGGAGTAATAAAATCATCCGTATCACTGTTAGGAAACTCACACCTTTTAGGAAAGGAACAATTCCTGGTTGTTACAGAATGGTTAGCATCAGAATATGAGTTTATCTGGAGGGGCTTCCAGAGAAGAATACACCCATTCATAATTAAACTACATCAAGAAATGAAGTCTACTGAAAAGGAACCTCTCAAAGAGCTGAATATAAGAAAATCTTCAGCCAGAACTTTTTATTTATTTATTTTATTGGACTTTTACCCAGCCCATCTAGACCAAAGGTCTACTCTGGGCGGCAACTCTGTAAAAGGTAATTCTACCAGTCTCATGCAAGATAAGTAGTGCATGAAAGTTACTCAGATTTTGCACTTTCTATATAAAACAGTATCATATATTTTTGCCGTACGAACTTTTATTTACCCGTATTTTTCGCTCCATAAGACACACCTCAGCATAGGTAAAGGTTCCCCTTGACAATTTGTACAGACGTGTTCGACTCTAGGGGGCAGTGCTCATCCCCGTTTCCAAGCCATAAAGACAGTGTTTGTCCGAAGACAATCTTCCGTGGTCACATGGCCAGTACGACTTAGACACGGAATGCTGTTACCTTCCTACTGAGGTGGTCCCTATTTATCTACTAACATTTGCATGCTCTCGAACTGCTAGGTTGGTGGGAGGTGGGACAAGCAACTAGTGCTCACTCCGTCACATGGATTCAATCTTACAGCTGCAGATCTATAGGCCTTACAGCACAGAGGCTTCTGCGGTTTAACCCGCAGCGCCACCACGTCCCACCTCACCATAAGACGCAGCTAATTTTTAGAGGAGGAAAACAGGAAAAAAATATTCTCAACCAAATAGTCATCCATATTATGCCCCTAGTTGATAGTGTCATCCATATGTGCCCCTTAATGTCACCAGTCAGCAATCCAGCCAGGAAATCCTCTGTATTGTGTCATTTACGGTACCTGGATGAGTCTTCTCCCTCTGCAGCACTCTCTCCTCTCTCTCTCTCTCTGCTTCCCCCAGTGTCTGGCTGGTCACGTGATCCAGCTGTCCAGTAAGCGGTTCTAGTCCTACAGGGCTGCTATGGATGCCCTGTAGTACCAGTGCTACTAATGAGTACAGAGCCCAGCGGCATGGGCTCTGGGGGGGTGTCTTCTATTGTCTACAAATAGCACCTTTTTTTACAATATTCGCCCCGTAAGACACACACACTTTTCCACCCACTTTTTTTTGAGGAAAACATGCATCTTATGGAGTGAAAAATATGGTAATTGGTTCTGGAACTCCAGTTGTAATTCGAAATGGTTTTAAGTCGAAGCACCATTTCCCATAGGAATGCACTGAAATGGAATTAATCTGTTCCAGCCTAAGAAAAAAATAACAAAAAAGCCCACCACACACTGCAAGACCCATTGGAAACATGATTAATCCGTTCCGGTTGAAAGGGGGAGGAGAAGCAAAGCAAACAAAGCGTGCAAGATGCATCGGAAGTGCAAAAAACAACAACAAAGCAGAAAGCAAGCAAAGCATCCAAAACCCACCAGAAATGCAAAAAAAGCAAAGCAGAAAGCAAGTGAAGCATGCAAGACCCATTGGAAATGCAAAAAAGGAAAGCAAAAAGCAACCAAACCCTGCAAGACCCACCGGAAATGAGGGGAAAGGCTCCAAAAAGCAAATAAACCCCCAAGGCCCATCGGAAATGGGGGGGGGAACCAAAAACCAAACCTGCAAGACCCATCACAGCATAGAAACATAATCCCACCACCCAGCCCAAAACCATGCTGCAAAACCCAGCCAGAGCAGTTTTTAAAAAGCAGAAAGCAGCAACTTACCTTAATAGGCAGTCTGAAGCCTCTTCCAATCGCACTCACTCTAACCGTTGGGGCGAAAGAGCTACAAAGCAGCAGCCTCTTCAACTACCAATGGTTAGCAATTTGAATTTCCAGCCGTTTTCCCCTGCCTTTCTCTGTTAGTAACTGGAAGCTCCAGCCACAAATCGAAGCAAAATGTTGCAGCAAGAGCTGGTCATAACTTGAAATGGTCATAGGTTGGGACGTTCGTAAGTCGTAATGCAGAGACTTTGGAGTACTATCAGAGACCCTAGTCTAGTAGTTAAATTATTAGGCATGGTAGTCACTTAAAACAAATTTCACATTGTGTGCCCCTTACAAACTTTTGCACAAATTTCTGTGGAATGAGACTCAAAGTATTTATCAGCCCAGATTAATGTCACCCTGCTTTATGCCAAACACATGCCATGTCCTGACCACTAGAAAGAACTAAACAGCACGATCCATTTGGAATTCAGCATTGTTCATTCATTTACTGATTTTCTCATGTTTTCAGGCCACAGCAAAACAAAGGCACACATTGATATGCAACATATTTTTTTTTAATTTTGGTATAAAGGTACATTGAGAGCTACTAAAGCATGTATAAAAATAAATTAATATTTTATAGTTTGCATGTAGTATTGTTGCTAAATATTTCAGTTCACCCGGGTCATGAATATTCATATGCTATTTTGCATAGACCAATGGGAGTGCTGGAGGGGCAGAGTCACGAAGTATAAGAGACTCAGCAGGAGAAGGAAGAGTTTAGATAAGGTTTTGAGAGGGTTCTCAAGATGGAGAATTAGAGAGTTTGGTGGAGTTTTGGAGTTTGGGCGGGAGAATGGTGCTTGAGGGTGGATAAAGAATTGTTTAAGAGTCAACAACATTGCTTGTTCTGTCAACACTTGTATCAATAAACAATTTCTATTTGGTTCTTTTAAAATGACATATGGCTTGGACATCTATCATCCATAATAGGTATTGTTGATGAAATCAACTAGTGGCAGTTGAGGGGCACGTAACGTGAGTTCGTAGTTTGGTGAAACAATCAGGGGCCACGTGGAATCGTCACAGGTACATTGAGAGCTACTGAAACATGTATAAAATAATATTTGATAATCTGCATGTAGTATTGTTAGTAGATATCTCCGTGAACTGGAGCACCAGGTTGTGGAATCAACAGTTGCAATTTCAATTCCATATTGTGCCTCATAGAAGAGCCAGTCTGTGTGATCTTGGCTACGTTGCCCCAGAGTACCCCCAGAAAAAGGGAATGATAAACCACTCTGAGCACTCTGTACCTTGAAAATCATGGAAGGATTTGCCATAGAATGGATTTAATGATACATAATTATAAGCCTGAGAATAAATCCAGTGGTTAGTCACAACCAGAATAGGTCCATTCAAAAATAGCTTAAATAAGTGTTGGTTTAACAATCCCATTCACTTTGTGAGTTTACTCTTGTTGGTACTAACCACTGGATTTAGTCCTCAAACACATACCTAGTGGCACTTCTCTCCTAGCCCACTAATCTTCAGGCAGCAAACTCGATAGGCTTTGGCTTAGCCACTTTTCTTTTATGTATGCCAAACTGATATTCTGCTGTTGTTTAGTCATTAAGTCATGTCCGACTCTTCATGACCCCATGGACCAGAGCACGCCAGGCCCTCCTGTCTTCCACTGCCTCCCGGAGTTGGGTCAAATTCATATTGGTAGCTTCGGTGACACTGTCCAACCATCTTGTCCTCTGTCATCCCCTGCTCCTCTTGCCCTCACACTTTCCCAACATCAGGGTCTTTCCCAGGGTGTCTTCTTTTCTCATGAGACGGCCAAAATATTGGAGCCTCAGCTTCCAGATCTGTCCTTCCAGTAAGCACTCAGGCTTGATTTCTTTCAGAATGTTCTCAAGAGTCTCCTCCAGCACCACAATTCGAAAACATCAATTCTTCGGCAGCCAGCCTTCTTTATGGTCCAGCTCTCACTTCCATATATCGCTTCTGGAAAAACCATAGCTTTGATTATGTGGACCTTTGTCGGCAAGGTGATGTCTCTGATTTTTAAGATGCTATCTAGGTTTGTCATCACTTTCCTCCCAAGAAGCAGGAGTCTTTTAATTTCGTGGCTGCTGTCACCATCTGCAGTGATCATGGAGACCAAGACCGTAAAATCTGTCACTGCCTCATTATCTTCCCCTTCTATTTGCCAGGAGGTGATGGGACCAGTGTCTATGATCTAAGTTTTTTGATGTTGAGCTTCAGACCTTTTTTTTTTTGGCACTCTCCTCTTTCACCCTCACTAAGAGGTTCTTTAAGTCCTCCTCAATTTCTGCCATCAGAGGGGTATCATCTGCATATCTGAGGTTGATATTTCTTCCAGCAATCTTAATTCTGGTTTGGGATTCATCCAGTCCTGCCTTTCGCATGATGTATTCTGAATATGCTAAATAAGCAGGGAGATAATATACAGCATTGTTGTACTCCTTTCTCAATTTTGAACCAATCAGTTGTTCCATATCTAGTTCTAACTGTTGCTTCCTGTCCCACATATAGATTTCTCAGGATAGATAAGATGGTCAGGCACTCCCATTTCTTTAAGGACTTGCCATAATTTGTTGTGGTCCACACAGTTAAAGGCTTTTGCAGGGCTCTCTCATCAATCTGCCAGTTAAGTGACATAATGAACTTCAAGTGGTAAATGTTCCAGTGCATATTCTAGGCATTTGAAGAATGCTGTGTAAAATTTAAGCACCGTGTAATGTACGGGTACTTAAAATCTCAACTCTATTTTTACCACTTCTGCCAGCTCCCTGCACTATTGATATTAGAACCCTGCACTGGGGCAATGATTTCAATAAAACTGGCAGGAACTAGTTGTAGATTATAACATAATGGTGCTCACTGCACAAAATTAGCTGTCAATTTTGTTTCATGCAGAGATTGTTATTTTGTTCCACAGAAACTGGTGAGATTCTTAACAGAATTCTTTAGGTATTGGTATATTAATTGATTACATAGACATCATTTGGACCCACTTTTCCTGTGTGTAAAAAATTCATGGATTTTGACTAGCAAACTTTAATCTCCATGTTCATTATTCAGTCTATAAACATCTAAAAAGAAATATAGTATCGGCAATTTTCAATCACATTAATATTGCACAACTCTCTGGGTTAATCAAAAGCTCTTACCACATAAATAATTTTCATAATAATAAAGTTCACATTCTTCCATTAATAGTATATTTTCATATAGAAAGGGCATATTTTTTATAACCTTCACTGATGATGCTAATCTTCAGTCCTTTAGGTCTGTTTGATGACAACAGGGGTGGCAGGCATTTGTTAGTTGCAAGTTAGATGTCAGAATTCCTGAGTTAAAAGAAGTAAGGACACTTCTGGATGTGATGGATCCAAAGGTTACCAAGAGTTATTCCAAATAAAGGATATTGTTAGTTCCAATCTGTATTTTTGCTTCAGTGTTGTCTTCTCAAGTGCTTAATACTCCTTCATCTGCTAGAAGCTGCTGGTGTGTATGATAAAGGTTGTGCCCATGCAAGAGTGCTTCTGTACGCAAAGAGATTTTCTGTAGCAGAAAGAAATGGGGGAAAGGAAAAAGATTTCAGCTTTCCTAATTTTGTTTTCAAAGAACTACACATAAGTCACATCATGGAGTTCTGTGCAAGCAAATTCACACTTGATGCTGCTTCACAGCAAACGTAAACACCAAAGGATCCCAAGGATACAGATGCTATTACAACACTTTCAATCCTATAGAAATAACTCAAGAAATTTTATAGGAATACACCAAAGATTTATAGAGAAATAGCAGAGCACTACAAAAGTGGGCACCATGTGGAAATAAGTTTTAATGTTTTTTTTCATTTACAAAAAGAGTACTGTATTTTTCCGTGTATATGATGCACCCATGTATAAGACACCCCCACTTTCTAAGTGGGGCTTAACAAGTGTAGGGGGAAAGGGATCAAAGCACTGCAGGATCGCTTTGATCCCTGCTTTCCCCTCCACTTGTTTTTGTTCTCTCCTCAGCTTACTTCCGTGTATAAGACGACCCTCAATTTTTAGTCTAAAGATTTTAGACAAAAGTATAGTCTTATACACGGAAAAATACAGTAATTTATGGAATCTAATAAAGAATTCAATATGCTGTTTTGCAAATGTTTATTAGGCAATTAAAAAAAATCTTGGTCACATAGTACTGTATTTTCCTCTCCCAACTGGAAGAAAAAAACCAGAAAAGTGCAGTGAAGAATCACAAGACCAGTTTCCAAAAACAAAATACCATACACATGCCAAGTATGGTCCTTCCGGCTGTGGAAAAAAATGGAGAAAATAAACATGCAACAGCAACAAAATTTCACATTCAGTTACCCAACTATTCCACATTCTATCCAACCACAGCCAGTCTTCAATGCCAAGAAAATATATAGCAAAAGCAATAACTTATGAGCAAGGAAGATTTGCCACAGACATTCAGTTCTTACTAGCACATGAGGTCACTTCTGACTTCCCCAGCATCCTCTTAACTTCCAGATGGTTCACTATCTTCAAACTCAGAACTTCAAAATGACTTTACATAATTAAACTCAGTTATAGTTCCTTAACCCACAGCCTCCAGTTTTCTAATTTTTCAGAAGTTAACTGAAATAAATCCTTTCTGGATGCTTTTAAAAAAATCAAAGCTACAAGCAGCTAGATACAAAACAGTCTCCTGTCCAGTCTCCTGTTGTTCTTTCCACAATACCTATAATGGACAAAGAGCCAGCACATGGATGATATGATATACCTGTTCCATTGTTTAGTAAGGCTGTACTCCTATAACTAAAAAGTTAAACAAAACAAAAAAAAGAAATGCTTTCTCTGTTAGTTGCATTTGTAATGTTAGTTGTGTCCCCTTACTGAAAAGAATTATAAGGTAATTAATTATAAGTAATGTAACCTCAACTCTCAAACCCTCTGGCTTATAAAACAGCAACAAAGAATCATAGGTTTACCTGGAAATCACGGATATAAGTAAGGAAAAAACTGACAAAAGAGAATGCCAAAGACCATTCAGAAACTGTGCTCACTATGTGGATGGCATAACACTGTAGAAGACAAAAAACATATAATATGAAAATGCTTCTCAGTGGTGGATGATCATTATTCCTAACAGCAAAACTGCATGATAAATGCTAACAAGAATGGAGGGGGTGGAATCTCCTAATACAGAAACAAAATGTTCAGGTTATGGACTGGCAGCCAGCTCCCAAACCTGAGATCTCTTAAGCTAAGGTAGCAGGAGGGAAGGGAACACAACACATCTTTTTTTGCCCTTCCATATCCTTGCTTTGAAACTTTTCTGAAAAAGAACTCCCATATTCCTACAGTAGCACATAAAAGTCAGGGATACAGTGCCACTTCTGGGGGGGACGGAATGGGACAACAATTCCCACATATTTGTTTCTGAATTTCAAACCAGAATTTTTTGTTCAGATGACAACTCTGTTGGAAAGCCATCCCTTATGCCCTCAAAATTGCATTTTCTAGGATACTTGATGCTTTTTGGACATCTCAGAGCAGATCCTTTACATTTTCAGTAGGAATAATGGATACAGGCAGCACTGAATAGGTTAACAATAGGTTAGCTTTCCCCTCCCCCCCAATCTGACATGGTACTCAGCTGCATCATCAGAACTATAGAATCCAAATCATGGAAAATAATACTACCACTATATTCTGCACTCTCAGGCCTCACCTGGAATATTATGCCCAGTTATGTTCCACTATTTAAAAAGAGTATCAAGAAGCTGAACCATGTCCAGAAATGGGTGACCAGGATGACAAATTAAACCAAACCTAAATGAAACAGTTGAGGAAGCTGAACACACTTAATGTAGGGAAGAAGAGAGAGGAGATATACCCATCTTCAAATATTTGAAGGGCTATTGAGTGGAAGACAGTGACCTGTTTGCTGCAGTTCCAGAGGGAAAGACCCTGAGTAATAGATTTGAATTACAGGAAAAGATTTTGACTCAACATTACAATTCAATAATGGAACTGACTGCCTTGGAATGTGATGCGTTCTTCAAAATTAGAAGTATTTCAACAGACAGGTGTTGGACAACCATCTAACAAGGGTAGCTTGGACAGGGACTTTCTGCTTTGGCAGACGGCTGGACTCTTTGATCCCTGCAATCCCTCCTAGTCCTATTCTAACAATGATGGCCATCCACGACAAATGTTAACTGGAGTATTGTTCTGAAAAGCTTTTTTATGCTATCAAATGTTATTGTAAAAAACAACTCATTTCCACTGAAAGAAAGAGCATTTGTGGTTAAAGGCTCTGATCTAAAGTAGTAAGGATCAATATCATTACAAAATATGCATCACTGAGTACTAATCATGAATATCTAAGTTCAGAAACAGTATAGTACTGAATGCCAATTGCCGGTATAAATTACTGGGCAAAACTATTTCCTTCACACCTTTCTTGTGGGCTTCCCATAGGTATCTCGCTGCCCATTGCTGGAAACTGGATGGTGTACTAGATGGGCTTTTGGTATGATCCAGCAAGGCTCTTCTTATATTCACATTCCTTCACTTGTGTAGGAGCTGAAAAAGGATGGCAGCAAATGGGCAACAACAATAATAATCAACATGAGGACCACCATAGGATTGGGCTTGTTAATTTGCACATCGCATTATCAGGGACGGGGGCTCAAAGAGGCAGGAGATCGGGTAGCAGAAGTGTCGTGATATCAGAGACCATACATGTCACCTCCTTTGTGGTTACAGTCATAAAGACAACTATGGGCTTCAGCCTCTTTGCCTTCCTGGTGTGTATCCTGAAAAAAAAACCTGTGGTGACCTTTTATCTTCCACAAACACTCAGAATGCATTCTTCAATGCAGTGGGTATATTTCTGCAGTGTCTTCTCTTAACTGCAATAATCAATCTTACCTTATCCTCCGGATTCCAGTGCAACTTCTGTGCTAAACCTGGTCCACAAAGACCACTGTATAAAGTCATTGAAGAAATAAACACTTCAGGAAGTTAAGGAATATATGTTAGGCTTGGGGGAACACCATTACATTCATTTACATTTATTTTTGTTGGTCTAGTTTTCTTTATTCATGACTAAGTTGTTGTACACCTTTTGGGCTAACTGGGAGGCACGCACACAGGAGGTGTTTTCAGAAGAGGTAGCTGTGTTAATCTGCACTGGCATAACAGGTAAAAAAGAAAGAAGAAAGAAAAAAAGAAGACAAAAATGTGGCACTTTAAAGACTAATTGCTATATTTTAATATGAGCTTTTGTGGACAAGTCCACTATATCTGTTTAAAAGTCACATAATAAATAGCAGACCAAATGTCCCATCGGAGATCTGGTGAATGCAACAGTGCTATTGTATTACCTCATGTGTCTTCACACTATAAGGAAACAGGATTAAAGTTCTGTGAGTTCAACAGGACTTTTTCTTCCTCTTCTCCACTGTGAACAGAACCCCCAAAGCCCTGTTCCCAAAAGTTATGGAGACCCCCGGAATAGCCATGGATATGCCACAAAAACTACACACGAAGGAGGGGAATGAGCAGAGATCAGGGACTCCACCTTGCATCAGTAGAATGGCTTTCTTTCCTGTAAGAGTGTCCTCCATCTCACCCACATATTATAATTAAACTCAAAATGCACTTTTCCATTTTACGCTTGATCTTAGCCAAAAGGCCGAGAAGCGATTTTATCATTTTATTTGATCATAAATGTATTTTAAACAATTGTGACGGCTTTTAGCTAATACAATAAACTTGAACTTTTCCATTTTGTGTCAGCATCACATTGCTGACTGGTATTCAGACACTGATATACTTCCTTTAGGCATTTCATCATTGTGAAATGTCCTGCATGTGTGAATAAGCCTGACCATCTCTGAGCAAACATCAGATAAACTTTCATGACTCTTCAGTTACACAAATACAACACCATTTAGCACTATCGACCTATAATTTAAATGTGGCTTATTAAGAAGCAAATCATCATGTCCCCTCCTTTGTTTATCATAGAATAACTGAGTTGGATGAGACCTATAAGGCCATTGAGTCCAACCCCCTGTTTAATGCAGGAACCCAAATCAAAACAGATCTGACAGATGGTTCCCAACTTTCTCTTGAATGCCTCCAGCACTGAAGCATTCACCATTTCTGAAGGTAATTTATTCCATTGTTGTACTGCTCTAACATTTAAGAAGTTTTTCCTGATATGCACCCTAAATCTGGCTTCCTGTAGCTTGAGCCCATTATTACATGTCCTGCACTCTGGGGTGGCTCAGAACAGATCCTATCCAGCTCTGTATTTCAAGTATTTGAAAACTGCTATCATATCTCCCCTCAGTCTTCTTTTCTCCAGGCTAAACAAGGCCAGTTCTTTCAGGCTTTCCTCATTGGGCTGGGTTTCCAGTCCCCTGATCACCTTTTTTGCCCTCCTCTGGACTTGCTTCAGTTTGTTGGCATCCTTCTTAAAATGTGTCAGTACTCTAGATGAGGCCTAACCGGTGCCGACTAGAGAGGGACTAGTATCTCATGGGATTTGGAGACTGTACTTCTATTAATGCATCCCAAAACCAAAATAGCCTCTTTTTTTTGCAGCTACATCACACTGTTGGCTCGTATTCAGCTTTTGATCTACAACTATTCCAAGATCCTTCCCACTCGTAGTATCCCCCATTTTGTAACTGCATTTGGGCTTTTCCACTTAGGTGTAGAAATTTGCACTTGTCTCTGCTAAATTTCATTCTGTTGTTTTTAGCCCAGTGTTCAAGCCTATCAAAATCTCTCTGAATTTTGTTCCTGTTTTCAAAGGTATTAGCTATTCCACCCAATTATCTCATACTCCCTTTTGTGTTGTGTCAGTTGACTGACTATAAACCTCCAGGCTATGAGTCTTCCTTTTAAGAAAGATTCTTAAATTAACTGGTATAGCAATAAATAAAAATGTGTATGTAGTTATACTTTCAGAATTGAGAGTGCACTTTCAGCATCTGGAACCCATCCAATATTAATTAATCAGTCAGTTATTTATCAAATGGATTTAACAGTGTAATCTTAGGCAGAGCTAGGTATGTCTAAGGGCAAAGGTACGCACTACATAAAAAGTGTGCACACATTTCATATCCCTCCCTTTTCTTTAAAACAGTGGGTACCTGAAAGGAAGGGGGGGCAATTAGGACTACATTATATGCATGTAGATGGAGGCTAATTTTTCCCCCTCAGGAAAGAACTGTTCCCTCATAACGGCTGCAATTTTCCTTGAGATCGAAGGTACTGTTTGTACTGATAGCATTAGTGTAGTGTCCTCTTACAAATCTATGGTGCAGCTGCATTTAGAACAGTATGAGAACAGTTCTGGTTTGCAATTTCAAAAGAGGTACACACAAAAAAAGAGGTACACAAAAAACCATTACTAAGATCATCAATTAGAGTTCTATAAAGCCAAAGCTAAAGCATGCAAGGTTTCGGTTTTTTAGAGGAAGCCACAGAAGAATTTTATAAATTTACCTGTGATATGAAGAAATCACACAAGATTTCTCTCTTTCTCTTGTAAGCTTTATGGTCATCCTAAAATTGACTGGCTCTAGATTCATATAAGGACAGACAGAGATAAGTACTGTTTCACAAAGGTATAAATTTACACTATTTACTTCCACAAGATGGAGTCATGCTGCCTGCTTAGAGGGTCTTTAAAGGGGACTGTTACCAAACAAATAATAGCAGATTTATCTATTATCAGCTATGCGAAACCTTTGGTTTCAAAGGCAATCTGCAGAGTGAGTGTGTCTTATGCAGAGGTTCTATTAAATAAAATTTACTAAACTCCTATTGTGAGATCCAGTGTAGCAGATTGACTAAGAATGTTGGAACGCGATAAAAGAAATCCACACAACTGACTGGTTGACAATCACTAATCACTAGGGTGAGTGCAAATTTCTATGACATTTCACATTTTCTCTGTAATCGACATTTGAACCCATAAGCAAGTTCAAACATGTTTATGAGTAATCTGTCTTTCCTCACCAGATTACTCATAAACATATCCAAATCCACCCATAAATTCAAACATAAGTTGTAGAAAATATATATATAACATGTCATAGAAACCTTCCCCCTATTAATAATTTTTTCTTACCTTATAGTGAGGATTTTTTAAAAAAAGGAGGAGCATCACATCACCATGGTGGAAGACACCATGTGATGCTGTTTTCCACTCAAACGAGAGAGACAGTATATATACATAAGTATAATTAAGTAAGAATCCCAATGGAATTCAATTCAACAGTTGTTTCTTTTTGATGGGAGATATATGCAATATCAAAATAGTATGCAATATACACTATCCTGATATTATTCAGTCTTATTCTTTTTCAGCACTGTCCTCATAATGGATAAGTTTATTTGAACACAAGCCATGCTTCTATAAAACGGCTCATCTCCACCTCTTTCTTTAAGTTTCACCACAAAGGATACTACCAGCAATGCTCAGAAAGCACCACAGCACAATTGTCAATCTGATTAAAAAAATGTCCTTCCCATGAATTCCAGGTTGCATCTTATAGGACAGAACAGTCTGAATCAAGAAGTAAATTGCTCCAATTCCAAAAGTGAGGGACGCTCCAGTTACATGGATGGAAAACAAAGTGCTTTTCTAAAGGGGGAAAGACAGTTCAAATATTTTCAAAGATAATTAGTAAGATAGAGAAAATTGAGTGCATATAATCTATGTACTCCTGTAACTCTGCCCCACTATGCCCAAATTAAAGATAGCACAAACCTGGAAGTTTGCAGTGATGCAAAGCCCAAAGCAGCTAATCATCCCTAACACAACACCAACTTTATTTAACCTGAGGATCTTCGGTTCTTCAGGATTCAAAGCACTGACTTGTTTGTATCGAACATACATTGTGGCAATGCCTGTGAATGAACCATTCAAATCAGATTAGGATACCAAAGTAGGCTATGCACCTGCAGAAATGGCAGAAGCCAAGTGTCATTTTAAGCAAAAACAACTGTCAAGTAGAGAGGGGGGTATTCGTATATGACATGGGTCAGCCCCCCTGGGGCCAGACCATCTACTCACTTGTCTGCTGCTGGAGGCGGCTCCACACTCCCTTCTAATTGCTCTGGAGCTCGCTATTGACTAGCCAGTCGTCAGCCTGGCAGGGAGGCTCGTCTTTCCTCCTTTTGCTAGGAGTGGCTAGTCAACCGCAAGCTCTGGAATGATTGGAAGGGGGCGCAGAGCTAGCAGCAGCAGATGGGTGAGTGGACAGTCCGGCCCAGGGACTGCAGAGTTATTAACATGAATATCCCCATCTCTACTGTCAAATATTCAAATAAAAATCAAGAGAGTGTGATATGTGGCCAGGGGTGTGCAGCCTGAAGGCAGGAAAATTAAAACTGAGAAAATTAATTTTCATACTAGATGAAAGTCTCCACTGGATTCCAGTGGAACACACTGAACTGAACAGATAAACCCTCGTGTATTCAAATCTGATAGCTCTTCTATATTACTTTGATGTAGCCAGGTTCAGTTCTATCATGGGCAAATTGAGACATCTGCCTCTGGTACCAAGAAGCTGGATAGGTGAGAAGTGGTGGCAAGATGCTATAAGACAGAGCTCCATGTGCCACATAGCCTTAAGCTAGCTTGCTCCCTCAGGTTTGGTGAAGACCGGTCCTACTAGCACAGTTCAAGTGAGATTCAGCCACTGTTTTTTAATACATGAAACAGGACTGAAGTGCCATCTTGTCTTCTTGCTACAAAGCTTTGGATGGCCCTGATACACACAGGTCTAACATGATTATTTATGTAACAAGTAACATTCAATTATCGTGCTACCTTCTATATCTTCAATTTTGATCTTTAACATTTGACAAGGGTGTCTTCATCTTTCATCTAATAGTGCACCAATTCCATGCCACAAGGCCATCTCAAAGGTTATTCTATTGCTAAAGCTAAAAAATTCTTCTCTCTGGAGCCTTACCAAGTCTAGGCATGTTCCAGAAACCCTATATTCCTGAGTTTTTTTACTTACCCAAAAGAGCAGCGATGTTTAACATTATCCCAAACAGACATCTTTCAGGAGGTGTTGTCCCTGTGTCACTAAAAGGAAATCAAGACATGATACTGTACTTCTTGTGATGCAAAGACATTTGAAAGCGACAGCAACTGCAAAGTGAAAGAACCTACGTTGTTAACATCTATTTTAATATCAAGAATAAGTGCTGGATGAAAGAAATTATGGCAACTGAAGCTGGTTTAAAACTATCTCATTGAAAAAACAGGATAAAAATAAAACCATTTAAAAAAATTACTTATGTTATAGGTAGAAAACGTATACTGTCTGCAATACATGCTTGATTTGTTATGCTATGAATAGCATAAGCAACATTAATACATGATAAAAAGCTCAAAGGCACTTTTTATCTTTGTGAAAGTCACCTAAAATATGGTGTAAGATTTTTCACAGTGACAATATTTTGCCATTTCTCCCTCTCCATATCCCAATGAGGTTGCACATCTCACACCAATCTGTTGATGCAATTCACTTAAGAAAATGCAATAGTATAAATAAAAGTTTAAGACATTCTTGAATGCCAAAAATGAAAGAACAAAATGAAAACAAACTTAGAGACAGTTTTAGCAACCACTGAGATGGCTCTGTTTTATGCACTCACCAATTTAACTGGCTACTGGCAACACCAGTGCAATGAAGATCCTTGATTATGTTTAGAACTGTGATCTGAATGCAGTCCTCAAAGTAACACAGCCCCAAACAAGTTAACAGACAATCTCAACTGGGGGTCCCTGGCACATTTGAAGGGGACCACAAATTGAAATATACGAGAAAGGGATTTTCTATTCATCTGTTCATGTTGTATCCTGGTTTGACAGGGGGCACTGGAACCTGATAAGAGCTCCTAAAAGGGCTGTGGCCAATAAAAGGTTCAGAATGACTGGTTTAAGATCTTAAGCATGCTGTGGAACATGTGGCTGGCCAGTTGTTTCGAGAGGAAAGAGTAGACAAACTTCTGAAACATCATAGATCTCTCAAGTCTGCCTTAAAGGTTAGTAGACAAACTTCTGAAACATCATAGATCTCTCAAGTCTGCCTTAAAGGTTAGTATCAAAACCTATGAATGGGACCTAGAAACTAGTGCAACCAGCACAAAATATTGTTACTTATTCAGTATTCTAGTCCCCATTAGCATCTGAACAGTCACATTCTGATTCAATTGATATTTCTAAGCCAGAAATATAGAGGCAGATCTATATAAAGCAGGCTTGTCTAACCCGCGGCCCGAGGGCCGCATGCAGCCCAGCTCAGCTTGTAATGCGGCCCAGTGCAATTTTTTATTCTTAAAGAAATTCCAAAGTTTCAAGTTACACTGCCGGCACTTGTGGCCGGAATGTGGCCGGGGCATGTCACAACAGTAGAGGGGGTGGGAGGGAAGGAAGGAGCGGGAGGGGAGGGGACAGGGGAGCTGCGTGACTGCATTGCGCCATCCCCGTCAATAGGTGGGCCCCCTCCCGGCCCCATAAAGCCGCCGGAGTCGAAGCTGGCAGCCTCTGCTGTCTGAGATCGCAGCTGCCGGTAAGCGTGCTTGTAGCGGGGCTGCAGAGGACGGCTAGGGCTGCCCCCCCATGCAGCCCAAACGAAATGTATGTGCGGCCCAAACCAAATTTTCATCTTCTAATGTGGCCCAGGGAATGTGAAAGGTTGGACACCCCTGATATAAAGCATACTACAGTAGTCCTGTTTGCAAATAAATAGTGAGTTCAGGTGCACAATAGAAAAGGGCACAGTAGATGTACAAACCCAAGTCAACACAAGACACTCTGGGCCACTCCCTTTACAATGTGATATACATTTGCTGTGGAACCTCAGGGGCATGAGATTGCATACACTTTAAGGAAACATACAATTCTTGCAAAAAAGGGCGGGGGTCCCCTGCAGCTCCATCACAACATGCCTTATTAACAGAGCTTTGAAACATTTTTAGTTTCAGACTACAACTCCCAGAATCCTCCAGCCAGCATGGCTACTAGTCATGTAAGACAGGCAATTCTTGGAATGACAGTCCACAATAGTAACTTTCCCACACTGTTTATTAAGTGCTGTAATTCACAGTTAGCTGCTATATTGCCTAAAACAAACCCCAATTATGTATTTCAAATTAGTCCACTCGAAGGCAAAGAAATTACTGCAGAATAAGTACTTTGAGAAACCTGTTCAGTATTTTTCCACATACTTGCTTAGTATATGACCACAGGTCTCATATACTACACAAAAGCAAATTCTAGAAATGTTTGACACAAGCAGACAAGCCCATGCTGAGTCATTAAAAATGCATGTGTAATAAAGGGCAAAGTCCTAAAAGGCAATTTGTTGTGTTTGAATGTAATCAATCTCAGCCTGAAACAATACATACAGGACCCAACATGTTCTCAAAACCAGTCTCCATGTAAGCCATCACTAAATATGCAGTCAGAAATAGAATGGATATGAAACGAATGTGGACAATAGATGTATATGAATGACTGTGTGTACATGTTTATGTGCATGCATACATGTGCACACATGAATAAGTGTCCCCACTTTTGTTTTGACTCCCTCATACCTTTTATATGTGAGGGGGTGCCTGCCTAATGTATGGTAGAGGGTATTACAGCTCTTGAGCAGAGCAGAGCCAAGCCAAGCCTCTCAACTCCTACTGAAACACCTTTCAATTTATAAGAATGTAATTTATATTAAATTTGACTTTATTTTTGTACAGGTTAGCCCTCAACTGACAATTTGTATTCATATGGCCCAACTCCCAAAGGAAATAAATTGTTAAAAAGGGGGTGACATTATAATACATGCAACAGTACAATAGCAGAAAATGAACTGACCTGATGTAGGGCACCAAAGGGTCAACATGACTCAGGAGAACTGCAGTAATGTATGGAAGCAGAAAGGAAGCTGATGTCCAGATTACGAGGGCCGAAGGCAAGATACTCAGGCCTTGCTGAAACCACCACATCTCAAACACATCTCCCTGATCTAACTGGTGAGAAGAATAAAGGGATACAGTTAATTAAGTACCACATTTTCTTTGAAATATTTTTATTGAAATGACCACTATGTGCATATCATCCTGTATGATGAAATGGCATGACTGGTGCCATGGCATACATTACTAAATAATTTTGTCAATAATTTTTCAATCTAAAGGGCTGCCAGAGCAACTTACTTACAATAAATGAAAATAAACCAGTCCATGAAAAAAACAAAACACAAAAAGAGAAAAAAAAGAGGCAATGGAAGAGGAAAGAAGCAAGCTGAGGCAGTTCTTCAGGGTAAACAACAGATCTGCTGAGAATAGGAAAAGGAAGAGCCTGACAAAATGGCACCATTTTTCATCAGCTATGTTACAGTTCCCATCTGGTGATAGTTCAGGGAGAAGCCTGGTAGATCTCGTCTTCCTGAAGTCGCCTACATTGGGTCTTCCAGGCAAGTTTCTTATGTGAATGGTTGCCAGCTAAATCAAGACCCTCTTGGATGAACTCACAGGCTAGAATCAAGATCATTCTGTATCCATCTCAACTGAACATAATGCCTCTTTTGGAATAGAAATTCCCTTCATTAGTATGACTTCTGTTAAGTAACAGTCAGAGACATGCAGCCCTATTACTTTACTGTATCTTGCTTCTTTCTGTGGCCGTTGCCATGGTTCAGTTAGTATTTGGACAGCCAATCCCAAATGATGGTTCTGAGGGATTATTGTTTAATTTTTTGGCAGATATGCTATTTCACAAGACACTATTTATCCCTAATGCTATTCGATATCTATATGAAACTAATCAAACCAAATCACAACCACCTGACCACAAGCCCAAAGCTAACAATTAGAAGTCGTAAAACCTTCCAATGTGATGAATAAATATAAAGCTACACTGACAATGAAGTTCCCCATGTCCCAAAGTGAGAGAATTGGCAGAGCACCTTTCAAACTGGACTACCCCAAACTTTTAATTTTTAAATAGCTCAAAAGCTACTTTGCTTGCCAAGTTACTGTACTAAATATATGCTCTTTGATACACTCCCACAAACACACATACAGTGGGCTCTTGCACCTTTTAACACCTGCAGGATAGCCAGAAATTCCACAAAGAGCAGCTGAGCTGATGGAGATATCAATATATTCATTCATCTTCTGCATACCATGCTGCCCTTTAAAAATTGATGCTGTTATATGCTGTCAAATTGCTTCCAACCTATGGAGACCCTATGAATGAGTGATCTCCAAATTGTCTTGTCCTCAACTTGTAAACTCAAGGCTGTACAATAGCTCCCTTTCCTATTTGGTCTTCTTCTTTTCCTGCTGCCTTCAAACTTTCTCAGCATTATGGTCTTTTCCAAAGAATCTTGCCTTATGATGTGCCCAAAGTAGAATAGCTTCGGTTTAGTCAGTTTTACTTCCATTAAAAGGTTCAGATTTCATTTGATGAAGGACCCACTCCTCTGCATTTCTGACAGTTCAGGGTGTCTGCAAAACATTTCCCCAGCACCACTAAATCGATTTTTTTCCTGTCAGATTTTCTGTCCAGCTTTCCCACCCATACATTCCTAACATAAAACTGGGGTGAGGAACACGCAGTCCTCTCCGTGTTGCACTGCAAGTCCCATCAGCCCCAGGCACTACCGCCTATGGATCTAAGACAACCTCCCTCGCTACGGAGGGGCAGAAAAGAAGGGCCACTCTAAAGAGGCAGATGCGCTGTTTGCATGCCCTCCCTCTGACACAGCCGCCGCCTTCTGTGCTAAAGTACATACCACTATTTCAGCTTCCCTGACAGGAAAGGTTGAAAGGAGGTATTATTTACAGTTCCGCGCGTTCTCCTACACCCACCTCCCCTCCCCTCACCTCGCCACAGCCACTCCCACCACGTCGACCGCTTCCCCTCCGACAGAAAGCCTACGAGAATCGGAAGGAGGGGGCGGATAAAATAGATCGGAGGGGATACGAAATCCACCAACCAATCAGTCGCCCTCCTCGCGCTCTCCTCCTCCCGCCCATGCGCACTCCCCAAAGCCCGCCTCCTGTCACCCCACGCACGCTTTCGGCTCCCGTTAGTTTTCTCTCCCGGTCGCGCGCCTTCCCTAAGCAACCCACAGCTCGGCCTTGTTTACGGCTGCCGCAAAAGAGACGTAAAGCGCCGCCCGGGCGAAGAGGCTGGTTGAGGTAAATGCCGGGTTTCTCCTGTGCGCTTCGGGGCAGTGGGTTGTGTTGGGGGGGCGGCGGCGGCTGGAGTCCTGATGGGCGCCGAGCCCCCCTCTGGGACTGCCTGGAGGGAGGCTTTGGCTCCTCCGTCGCTGGGCTCCTTGGCAGGGCGGGGGATAGGGGGTCTCTCCCCTCCCGCTCGGGTTGAGCCTGCACGGCTCCTGCGCAGGAGAGCGGGATTGGCTTGCGCGGCGCGGATCTCGGGGGGTGTCCTTGCCCTTGGTTTCCCCCCCTCTCTGTGGGGGGATTGACCGCGGCTCTGGGGGCCGCCAGGCACAAGGCTGTCGCAGTTAGCGTCCTGTCGGTCAGGCGGGCGGGCGAGCGAGCGAACGAGCAGGCAGCCCTTGGGGCGATGTAATCGGAGCGGGCGATCGTGGAGCGCCGGGGGGGGGGGGAAGCGACTCAACCCTCCCTCGCGACTCCCCTGCCGGGCAGATGCACCACAAGCCGGAGTTTGTGGTAGAGAGAGGTGTCCTAGACTCGGGTAGGGATGCTTGTGATCGGATGGGTTTGGGATGCTCGCTGCAGAACTGCCTGCTTTGCGCGGAATCAGAGCAGTGGGTCGTCTAGAGGCCAGCCCTGCCTCCTCCGACTGAGGGCCGTCGGTCAGGATTCGGCACAGATCTCTGTCATTGCATTACAACTCCCGTTCCTTTAACTACGCATTCGACCTAGCATGTCGTGTAGTATTGTCATTATTTCTATTGTCATTTTGCAGTGCCCTCTTTGTAAGGAAGCAGATCCCTGGACAGAGAGCTGCCTGTTCGCAAAGTAGATGTTGTACCATTGGGTTATTGCCCTTTTGCTGTTTACTACCCTTTTTTTCCTTTGGTTCGGCTGATAAAAACAAGCTCAGGATTTTTCTCAGTGCTCCTCTATGGAGGGTTTTCTGCATACGGCTTCCTCTGCTGGAGTGTCAAGACTGCTAAAGCAGCTGACTTTGGACTATGCCTTAGTATTGTGCTAGCTTTTTGAATTTCAGCTTTCACTGTTTTTATTTAGTGCCTTGGAATTACAGTACTCATTTCACCAGAGATAATTAATTAGTCAGGGTCTTGTAAGTTTTTATTAAACTTTTCTGATGCAAAAGCTCTCTGGGAGTTAATAAAAAGTACTAAATTTTTGAGTTGGGAAGTTCGACAAAAACAGAATATGTTTCAAAATAGTAATAACTGAATTACTGTATTTGTTTTGTAGTATCCTACAGGCTGAAGCAAAATTCTTTCTGTTTATCTACTGTTTTCTACTGTTTTAGCGAATCGTAGCTCTTCCTTTCTGTCTTTAATCATTTCTTATATTAAATGACTTCTCATAGTAAACTTATTAAGTATTTTTGTTTGTACTAACACTAATGGTGAGACTGGCATTTTAAAATATCCCTGATCAAAGAGAAGCTGTCCATTAAAGTTATTCCACTGTCTTGTATTTTTTGTGTCTTGCATTGGATATTATTATCTCTGAATATATCCATTTCTCTCTCACTATTAGAAGCCAAATCTAGTAGCCAAACTAACAACAAATTGTTGCTGAGCTGTTTCTCTTCAGAGCCAAAATAAACAACAGGGTAACATAACAAGGCTATAGAATAGATTTTTTTTCTTCATCTGTTGTTCCTGGCAGATGAATTAGATGAATCACTGTTGGGCTTAAGGCGAGTAGTCGAACCGGCCTCAGACATGGTCTGCAAGTTACAAATGCCTTCATTCACTGTGTGGGCAGTGGTGTAGTTTTTCCAAATAGAGGCTCAATTTAAGAGTACTGTACAGTATATCTTTAAAATACAACTGAAAGGAGAATAGAGATGGGAAAAGCTCCTTTTTAAAACTACAACTTCAAGAATCCCATAGCGAATATGGTAGTGGTCAAGGAGGCTGTGGGATTCTGTAAGATATCTATCTCTTTGTATGAATGCAGTGGGCAAGAAGAGCCCTGGTGAACTTTACCAAAGACCTTCCTAGCCTGGCAACCTGTTACCCACCAGTGGCTTCCTAGATACTTAGTTCTTTTCTGCTGCTATTCCCAGAACCTTGCTCCCTCTGTTTCAGAAGGTAGTATATAATCTACATAAATACTACCAAATGCTAGTTTTATCCCCCATGACTTTTGGGGGGAACGAGCAGGCAGTCCTATTTGGTGTATCTCATAACACTGATGTAAATATAGCATGGATCTTATTCTAACTACTACTACATTAATAAAGCTCCCAAAACATAAGAGAGAGAAAAGTATCTTGCCCTGTGGAGTAAGGACCATTTTAGGTTATACAGTAAGTATTAAATGTGAACAAGTAGAGTCATACATATTTAAGCTTTATGCCAGTAAGATAGGCAACTTGATAGTTTAAAAAACTAAGTTTGACCCAGGCTTGCTCTTCTATAGACAGGAAGGCTCCTTCCATTCATGCTAGAGACAAAGAACTGGTAAAGGTTCCTACGGAAGGAAGGTACCTTGTTTCCCTGAAAATAAGACCTAACCTGAAAATAAGCCCTAGTATGATTTTTCAGCATGCTCGTATTAAAAGCCACACTCCAAATATATGTCCCAGTTAAGTGAAACCCTGCCCTCCACCATTGTGCAGCAACCAGAAGATGACATGACGGTACAATATTTGAATAAATGTAGATTGTTGTACATGAAAAAAATAAAACATCCCCTGAAAATAAGCCCTAATGTGTTTTTTGGAGCAAAAATTAATATAAGACCCTGTCTTCTTTTCGGGAAACACGGTAGAAAGATAATTTTCACTGGATTGCCTTCTTTACCGTACACCTTTACAGTAAAGGTGCACAGTAAAGACTGTACTGTATGCCTTTACAGTAAAGGCGTCTCAGTGCCATTTCAATATTTGCCCACAGGCACTCTGGATTATGTCCCACCACCCTCAAAGGGGTGCTTAGTGGTGATGCAAGAGAGGGCCACTGATCCTAGATTCTGGAATTTCCTACTATGGGAAGCCAGGCTGGCCTCATCTTTGCTGTTCTTCCGCAAACAAATGAAGACGTTTCTCTTCTTGCAAGCTTTTCCTTCATGACTGGCTGTCTAGGAGAGGTTTTAAAATGATATGGTTTGCATTTTGTTGCTTCTAAATCTGTTTTCGTTATCCTTTACTTAACACCCAATATAATGTTATTACTTCATTTCACAATTGAATAAGTCACTGTTGTTAATTTTAATGTTGTGTTTTAATGATGTAAGCCACCTTGGGTCCTTTCTTATGAGAAAGGCAGAGTAAAATATTTTAAATAATAAAAATAAATAAATCATTGGTGAAAGTTGTAGCACTAAGGATTTTTTACATCCATGAAGTACTGTTATATAAATGGCCCAGTATTCATAAACGTATGCAAACATTCTCCATCCATTTATTAAATAATTTAAACATATATAATGCATCCTTCTTCAATGTTTTAGTTCTTAAATGGACCATTAAAAAGTGTTTGGCAAATGTTCAGTGTTCCCACAACACACATGTGTATGTGTGTGACTCCCTTAACTGTCAATTACCAGAAATTACTAATAACCTTTTATTGAAGTAGATAGAGAATTTTTGTGGCACATATTTCCAGTTGTATTAGAAATTAGTTTGTTATTTTGATCCATTTATTTAAAAACGGGAATTGCAGTAGTTGCAGCTATAGCTCATGGTTACCTGCTTAACAGTAGATGATCCCTGTAAATCTTTCTGTCTGTTATCTGAACATAGTTTGATTTTTTTTACAAGTAGCTTAGGCTTCCAAATATCACCCTTTTGATTATTAAGCAGCTTTCTGCCTCTTACATTAACCTAAATACTTCATGTTCCAGATAGACCAGGATCTTATGACAACAGTTAAAATCTGTCAGATACAAACTTCCAAGACTGACAAATCCATGAGTGGGAATCGATCTCTGAAGAAACGATGTGGGGAAATACAGTTGGAGTCCCCTGTGCGATATGGTCATATTCCTTCTGCAGGATGTTCTTTAAACAAGTTGATTCAGTTGCCTACACCTCCCTTGTCAAAGCACCAGCTAAAACGTTTAGAAGAACACAAGTATCAAAGTGCTGGACGGTCACTGCTTGAGCCTCTCATGCAAGGTTATTGGGAATGGCTGGTTAGAAGAGTACCAGCTTGGATTGCTCCCAATCTGATTACAATAGTTGGACTGATAATAAACATCTGTACAACAGTAATATTAGTGTATTACTGTCCAACAGCTACAGAGCAGGTAAGCTAAAGATCTTTGACTCTCGATTTGGAGAAATAATTGTATTCCTAATAAATGGCTCAGTTTTATAACTATACATATGGAGATTTATTTATGACATCTGAATTTTTGGAAATTTTTGTAGCATACCTCCAAGTTATATTGTTACAAAATACCCCTTTCAAAAGATGATATAGCATATTTGATTTCATTAATGTTTTTACAACATCACTAGTGCAATAAATACTTGCTGACTTGATGGATTACAGAAAATAAGGTTTGTGGCCATGTATAAATATTTGTCATCTAATCCCATTTTTATGTCTGCAGAAGTGGACTTTAAAGCTCATATTAAAACATAGCAGTTAGTCTTCAAGGTGCCACAACATTTCATCTATATTTCACTTGTTTTTGTCTGATAATGCTAGCAGAAGACTAACACAGCTGCTGCTTCTAGAAAGTAAAAAGGGATTTTTACTTCAGAGCTCTTGAAACTTGTAAGAAGGGCAAATGCATAAAAAAAATGGAAGGCATCTTAGAATATCAAACATTCTTTACTTAGAACAAATGCTAACCTACTTTTGTCATCTGAAATTTGAAGGTATAATTTTTTTATATGCAAAGACAATAAAAGCTAAACTATTCTCCATGCTGAGAAATGCGACTGTAAAATACTGGAGAGGAGGCAATTGTCAAAAAGGTAGCATGTGGAAAATTTTAGTTTAGGGATTCTTCAGTCTCGAGAGACTATGGCAACATGCTCTGTATGGAGGATTTGGAACAGCGTCTAGTGTGGCTGAGAAGGCCAATTCGAGAGTGACAATCCCTTCCACACTGAAGACAAATACAATCTGTCCCCTGTCCAGCTCCCTGATTTTGCTGCTTTCATGACTGCCTCTTTGCCTTGGCCTGCTGGACAGGGGTCTCTTCAAATTGGGAGAGGCCATGATGCACCACCTGCCTCCAGGCTGAACACTCAGATGTCAAGGTTTCCCATCTGTTGAAGTCCATTCCTAAGGCCTCCAGATCCCTCTTGCAGATATCCTTGTATCACAGCTGTGGTCTCCCTCTGGGGTGATTTCCCTGCACTAATTCTCCATATAGGAGCTCTTTTGGAGACCAACCATCAGCTATTCTCACGACATGCCCAAGCCAATGTAGATTTCGCTGTTTCAGTAGTGTATACATGCTAAAAATTCCAGCTCGTTCTAGGACTACTCTATTTGGAACTTTGTCCTGCGAGGTGATACCAAAAATGCGCCGGAGGCAACGCATATGGAAGGTGTTCAGCTTCCTCTGCTGCTGTACACAAAGGGTCCAGGACTCACTACAGTACAGGAGTGTGCTCAGGACACAGGCTCTAGAGACCTGGATCTTGGTATATGCTGTCAGCTTCCTATTGAGCCATACTTTCTTTGTGAGTCTAGAGAACATGGTAGCTGCTTTGCCAATGCGTTTATCCAGCTCGACATCTATGAAGAGAGTGTCAGAGATCCTTGAGCCAAGGTACCCAAAGTCATGAACAACCTCCAATTCTTGCATGGAGATGGTAATAGAGGGCGGGGAGTCCACACCCTGGCCCATGACTTGTGTTTTCTTCAGGCTGATTGTTAGTCCAAAGTCTTGGCAGGCCTTGTTGAAATGATTCATGACTTGTTGGAGGTCTTCAGCAGAGTGGGCAACAATGGCTACATTATCGGCAAAGAGGAAGTCCTGCATGCATGTGGAAAATAATAAAAATTAAATTGTTCTCTATACAGATGAAAAGCAGCTCTGAAATACTGGGGAAAAGAGAAAACTGTCAGAATAGCATTGCAAGAGATCCATCTTCTTCAAGCAAAGCTTTTGGCTCCATTTATCTCTATGCTGCTATGAGATCTTGCACATTAGAAGCCCTAACATAACACACTTCTACTGAAACTTGTTCATGTTGAGATACCTGTTCTGCTGCTTTTACCTGTGTAGTATTTAATGCTCCTGAGTGGAGTTTTTTACTGCAAACGTAGATGTGAAAGCGGGATTATTACTAATCCCTACTCCATTGTTTTTAGCCAAGATAGCATTTAAAAATAGAACCTTAGTAGTTGGAGACACTATTAAGAGTGTTTCCAGTGGAAGCTTGTATTTTCCTTGCATTGTTCATGGAATTTTACTAGGGGTCCAAACTATTTTATCTTTCCTTTGTAACCCTCTGTTTTCATATTGCTTCTTCTGTCTTCATTTCTCATCAGAAGTAAATATGTTAAAGAGAGGAAAATAATAACTATACATTGCCTTCCAATCTTCCAGAGCCCTTCATCTGGAAACATCCTAAATGTACAGTATCTGCTTCATCTCCTTACATGCACCTTTAACTTTCCTGACAGATGCCAGCCCATAGAAGATTCTGTAACTTCTTGAAATTATTTGTTCATTTGGACTGAAGCTGTCCCTTGTAGTAACAAAACTATTAGCATACATCTTGGAAGGAATGTTTTCATTTACAAAGTAAACATTTTATTGACTCTTATACTAACACGTCACATAGTTAACTTGTTTTAATTTTAACATGAATAATCAGTGAAGTCTTAGTCATGCTGCCATCCAGCCTGTTGTTCCCTGTATCATACTTTTAAACTCTTTATTTTATTGATTACTCCTTCACTTTACTGCTGTCAACTTGATTCCTCAGCACTTTGAATTTTGTTTTTTAACACCTGTTGACAGTTCCAATCTTCTGTTCTCCTTTTATATTTGATGTCTACCCCTTTGTCCAATAGTTTAAAACATAATAGTAGAAAGAAGTATGAAAGGGGATTCTGTAATGGACAGTAGTGCTCTGTACTTTCATTAATTAATACATTTCAATTACACTTATTGGGCACTTAGATTTCCTGATAACTTTGGGCTACAACAACATGTTCAGAAGATTTTCAGGACCAGAAGTACTGGATGTGCAACTGAAAGAAGACTAAAATGCTGAGGGCATAACAAGAGCCTGTTGTGTATTCTCACTCATTACTGAAGTTACACTTTGCTAGCATTTATCAATGGTGATATTTTTATTTCATGTATAATTTAGATCAGGGAAGTTATTTATATTAGACACTTGAAAGACAACTGAGAAGAACGTTAAGATGAAATAGAAGGTTGAAATATTGTTGCTTAGTGTAGTAAGTTGCACTTAACATAGAAAATTTCATTTCCTATGTTACTTGTCCTACATATTTAATATATTCCTGGGAAACCCACAATTGCTCAGGAAAGGACTAGATTTCTTTATTTAGTCTAAATGTCTTTCTTGATACATGCTCATTTCAGACATAAAAGATTCATTTTGTAAATAACATGCAGAAGGCTATTTTACAATAAGCAATTTAAAGTATTCCAAATAAGTATAGGTATGTAACAGTACTTGGCAAAAACCCATATGAACAGCAAGCATAAGTAGTGCAAGGTAAAATATATTGGGTGGCAGTTAAAATGCTGCTTCAGTTCTTTGAACAACTGTCTATATACCCAAATAATCTCATGGAATTGTTTGTATGCAAAAAAGGAAGTACAGTATGTTATATTTTAGAAGAGATTTGTATAGACCAGGAGGAGATAAACTGGGTAGACACTCTGAAATTCTAGTTTTCAGAGGAGATGGTACTGTATTTTAGAAAGAATTGTCACTGAAGAGTTACATACAGGGGTAAATGGGAATGTTTATTACTAGGGGAGTGGAACTGGTTAAACCACTCCTTAAATAACTCACTCACATTGAAAGTCTTATTACGGTTCCCTATAAGTTGATTCAGACTTGACAGCACATAGCCACAATGCAAAACTGAATTCATCTTCTCTGTACCTGAAAGGATAAACAGTACCCAAAGCAAGAGTTCAGTTCTTTAAACTTCCTCTTTGATTAATTGCAGGTTTTAGCATCTCTTTTTTCAAATGCAAATCACGCTGTCTTTTGCCACACGTACAGTTTCTTTAGATCTGGTAAATCCATGGAAAAGTTAGAGAGGTTCAGAGAAAGAATGTCTACTTCCCTCAGAAAAGATACGTATTTATGCACTTACATTTAAAAGTATTATTTGTATACTACGGCTTTGGTCTTCATGTAGGCAGAGAAGATACAACATTGATATGTTTTATTCTCGTATGCTGATTTTTCAAATTGTTATTTTGTAGACCCCTTTGTCACTGGCTTCTGATTTAAATTCCTTCTCCATCTTAGTGAAATTAGTCTATACATTTACAAAGCAAATGACCATACAAATAAAAGGCAGGGTAGAACGGATAAGGTTCTACATACTGCTCTGTTAGTCGTGCTTTCTTATGCCATTTTGGCACCTGCAAAAAAGAAAATATTTGTATCACGCGAAAGATGGTATGCCAGAAGCAGAAAGAAAAAATTTAAATTACTGTATCTGGTTACCCTAAAGGTATTAATAGTAACATTGAAGAAACAGGGAGAAAACCATTACGTCTCTTTGCTGTGCATCCTTTACATGGTGTTTATGGAACCAAGTAGGGCATATTTTATGTTATAGGTTATGCCCTACTTGGTCATATGAACCTTGGTAAGCTGGATCTGGTCAAACAGGAGATGGCAAGAATAAACATTGACATCCTGGGCGTCAGTGAACTAAAATGTGTCAGGATATTGTAATTTTGTAGGCCTGAACCTGGATTAGATGTGACATTAATGAACTGCCATAATGAACAGATGTGTGACTGCTGAGTCACTGTGACAGAGAAGAGGATGATGCAATGTCTGGAGAAGAGGTGACACCCAGGTGGAGAAGATGATGTAATGTGTCCTGTGATTGGACAGAAGATGGGTGGGAATGGGTGAATCCAATTCAGACGATTGCTGTATCTACTATTGTGGGCAAGAATCCCATAGAAGAAATGGAGTAGCCCTCATAGTTAACAAAAGAGTGGGAAAAGCTTTACTGGGATACAATCTCAAAAATGATAGAATTATTTCAATACGAATTCAAGGCAGACCTTTCAACATCACAGTAATCCAAGTATATGCACCAACCACCGATGCTGAAGAAGCTGAAATAGACCAGTTCAGTGAAGACTTACAACACCTTCTAGAACAGATACCAAAGAAAGATGTTCTACTCATTATAGGGGATTGGAATGCTAAAGTAGGGAGTACAGAGATAAAAGGAGCAACAGGCAAGTCTGGCCTTGGAGTTGAAAGCGAAGAAGGGCAAAGGCTAATAGAGTTTTGTCAAGAGAACAAGCTGGTCATCACAAACACTCTTTTCCAATAACACAAGAGCGACTCTACACATGGACATCACCAGATAGGCAATACTGACAATAGATTGATTATGTTCTCTGCAGCCAAAGATGGAGAAGCTCTATACAGTTAGCAAAAACCTGGAGCTGTTTGTGGCTCTGATCATCAGCTTCTTATAGCAAAACCCAAGCTTAAACTGAAGAAAGTAGGAAAAACCACTGGGCTAGTCAGGTATCATCTTCTAAACCAAATCCCTAATGAATACACAGTGGAAGTGAAGAACAGATTTAAGGAACTAGATTTGGTGGACAGAGTGCCTGAAGTACTATGGATGGAGGCTCGTAACATTGTACAGGAGGCAGCAACAAAAACCATCCCAAAGAAAAGAAAATGCAAGAAAGCAAAGTGGCTGTCCAACGAGGCCTTACAAATAGCAGAGAAGAGAAGGCAGACAAAATGGGAGATAGGGAAATATACAGAAAATTGAATGCAGACTTCCAAAGAATAGCAAGGAGAGACACGAGGGCCTTCTTAAACGAACAGTGCAAAGAAATAGAGGAAAATAATAGAAAGGGAAAAATTGGAGATCTCTTCAAGAAACTTGGAGATGTTAAGGGAACATTTCATACCAAAATGGACATGATAAAGGACAAAAATGGTAGGTACCTCACAGAAGCAGAAGACATCAAGAAGAGGTGGCAAGAATACACAGAGGAATTATACCAGAAAGATCTGGATGTCCCGGACAACCCAGATAGTGTGGTTGCTGACCTTGAGCCAGACATCCTGGAGAGTGAAGTCAAGTGGGCCTTAGAAAGCATGGCTAACAACAAGGCCAGTGGAGGTGATGGCATTCCAGTGGAACTGTTTAAAATCTGAAAAGATGATGCTGTTAAGGTGCTACACTCAATATGCCAGCAAGTTTGGAAAACTCAGCAGTGGCCAGAAGATTGGAAAAGATCAGTCTACATCCCAATCCCAAAGAAGAGCAGTACCAAAGAATGCTCCAACTACCGTACAATTGCACTCATTTCACATGCTAGCAAGGTTATGCTCAAAATCCTACAAGGAAGACTTCAGCAGTATGTGGACCAAGAACTCCCAGAAGTACAAGCTGGATTTCGAAGGGGCAGAGGAACTCGAGACCAAATTGCTAACTTGTGCTGGATTACGGAGAAAGAGAGTTCCAGAAAAACATCTACTTCTGCTTCATTGGCTACGCAAAAGCCTCTGATTTTGTGGACCACAGCAAACTATGGCAAGTTCTTAAAGAAATGGGAGTGCCTGACCACCTTATCTCTTCTCTGAGAAATCTATATGTGGGACAGGAAGCAATAGTTAGAACTGGATATGGAAGAACTAATTGGTTCAAAATTAGGAAAGGAGTACAACAAGGCTCTATATTGTCTCCCTGCCTATTTAACTTACAAGCAGAATACATCATGCGTATGGCAGGACTAGATGAATCCTAAACCGGAATTAAGATTGCCGGAAGAAATATCAACAACCTCAGATATGCAGATGATACCACATCTGCAAAAATTGGTCTGAAGCTCAACATAAAAAAACCTAAGATCATGGCCACTGGTCCCATCGCCTTCTGGCAAATAGAAGGGAAAGATATGGAGTCAGTGACAGCTTTTACCTTCTTGGGCTCCATGATCACTGCAGATGGTGACAGCAGCCAAGAAATTAAAAGAAGCCTGATTCTTGGGAGGAAAGTGATGACAAACGTAGACAGCATCTTAAAAAGCAGAGACATCACCTTGCCAAACATACAGTTTTTCCAGTAGCAATACGTATATGGAAATGAGAGCTGGACCACAAAGAAGGCTGACTGCCAAAGAATTGATACTTTTGAATTGTGGTGCTGGAGGACACACTTGAGAGTCCCCTGGACTGCAAGAAGATCAAATGTATCTATCCTGAAGGAAATCAACCCTGAGTGCTCACTGGAAGGACAGATCCTGAAGCTGAGGTTCCAATATTTTGGCCATCTCGTGAGAAGAGAAGACTTCCTGGAAAAGACCTTGATGTTGGGAAAGTGTGAGGGCAATAGGAGAAGGGAACGACAGAGGACAAGATGGATGGACAGGGTCATTGAAGCTACCAGCATGAATTTGACCAAACTCCAGGAGGCGTGCTCTGGTCCATGGGGTCATGAAGAGTTGGACATGACTTAACGACTAAACAACAACAATAACTAACAATTCACTAAATTTCAAAGCTTCTACAGACTCTTCTGTTTTAAATGTAATGTGGGCAAACTGGACAGTCCCAGAAGGAGGGAATAGTACACAATTTTTGAATGCTTTCAGTCTAGAGAACCCTGAAAGGGGTCACTATAAGTCTCGATTGACTTGACAGCACACAATTATTATCAATTTGCGATCATTTCCTTTATGCATATGCATGTCACTCAAGACCTAAACATTAATAAAGTGAGAAAATTGCTTACAAATTTTTGTACACAATTACAAATAGAACTAAATATGGAGCATGTGAGAGACGTGTTTGATTTTAGACTCCATGCATCTTTATTTACACTTCACTGCTGTTTGCCTACTTCTCTCTTAGGCACCTACTTGGGCATATATTGCATGTGCTTGTGGCCTTTTCATATACCAGTCTTTGGATGCTATAGATGGGAAACAAGCAAGAAGAACAAACAGTAGTAGCCCTTTGGGAGAACTTTTTGACCATGGCTGTGATTCCCTGTCCACAGGTATTGTGTTATATTATTGCTAGTGGTCTATAAAGTCATTTATATTTTGCATGAGACTGAGAATATACTACATTGAAAAAGATGTGCTCTAGCAAAATTTTAATAATGCATTCTGGCTAAATAGTCCTTTTGCTACATCTCAAGGTTTTGTTAGTATGCTTATCAGTACATAATTTTGTCTAATTGTCCTACATTAAGTGTTTTTATAGCACATACCTGAAATAATTGTTGGGACGCTTAATAATTTTTATCCATTCCTTTCCAACAGTCTTTGAGCAGAGAATCGGTAGTTCCAAGCCAAAACTGTGCCTTTTGAATTTCATTGTTTTTTCAAAAGTGCCAGAACTATCCAAAAGGCTATAAGTGTTTGCCTTACTGAGAATACTACTGTAGCTGTTGTAATAGAGGCTTGTGTTTGGTTGCAAACATATCACAGTTCACATGCTTGCCATTTCCTGTGGGACATATACTCAGTCATTTTTCCATCTCATTGTGCTCTTGGTTACACCCTTCTCATAGACTCTGCCTCTTATGTTCACAGCCAGTAAATTGCTAGAACAGGCAGTACAGTTATAGTTAACATTTGTTGCCAGAGGCATCCAACAAGTATTCAGACTGTTTGGAAAAAAAAACACCAGTTGCCCATTACATTACAGTGCCTGTTTGTCAGTGGTCAGGTTAGAGTGGCTGTCATCACTGACCTTGCTTCCGTAAGCTATTTCTAAAGTTATATATTTCTTTTTATCACAATGAATGTTCCTGTGGTCTTTAAAAAATTAGTGCATGGCTTGGTGTGGCTCCATCCCACTGTGCTCTGCTGTTTCAAGAATATTTTTCATTCAAAATTCTAAAAAAAGTTTAATAATAGAATTGTTTAGAACAGAATCTATCTGAAATTTGAAAGTGTGCTTTATGTTTTACAACTGGACCTCCCATTCTTCCTCTCATATTTTTATGTTTATCAACCTATTAGGGCTGGACCTGAGGTAGTGGTATCATGGTTTCAAGAAATGCTAGGGTCACATTACATCTTAATTATGAAGTGGTACCAAGAGTGCAGTTTAAAGGCATATTTACTTGGATATAAGCCACATTGAATTCCATGAGACTTTCTTCCAGATGAGTGTGTTTAGGGTTACACACTTAGCATTTAGTGGTTCCAGTTCAATGTAAAGTTAGTATTAGTCTGTGAAATATGTAACAGTATGAATTCTGATAGAACTAAGAACAGCCAAGATTTTCAGTAATTAAAGACTTCCTGCTTCCATCCCATGGGTTTCAAACAATGAAAGGGATTAATCTGCAGTTTAAAAAAGCCATGGGACAGAAGAAGGAAGCTTAAAAAAAAAAGCTACCCGCTGCCCATTATATCTTCTGCAGGTGTATGGTGTGAAACAGGATTTCAGCCAGTATGTATTTTGCATACATTTTGTAGCTCTCATAGATCTTGAAATATTAACAACTTAAATCACCACCATACATCAAGAATACCTAGCAGTAAATAAACCAATTACATATTGTAGTCTGCTGAATATCTGTAGTGATTAATTGTTGAAACATCTATTGCGTATGCTTTAGTTTTCAAAACCAGAAGGCTATGCTCATTTTAGTTTAATTTTTTCTTCAGTCTTTGTTGTTTTGGGAACGTGTATTGCTGTGCAACTGGGGACAAATCCTGACTGGATGTTCTTCTGTTGTTTTGCTGGGACGTTCATGTTTTACTGTGCACACTGGCAGACCTATGTCTCTGGAACATTGCGCTTTGGAATGTAAGTAAACCACCTAAGGGTGAAATTAGTATTTTCATATCTAGTATTGTTGTGTCCCTAAGTCAGTAAGTATGTGTTTATATATTTGTAAACTCTCCTATTCAGTGGATGTTGAAGCCATATTATAGCTCTTATTCAGACCATGGTAATATAGCTGAACATATTTTCCTCGGAGTGAGTAATCAAGTTTAAAATTATTAGGTGATTTTTTAAATCGCATGCAATAGAGTGATTAAAATATGCAATGATCAGAGAAATTGCATACTATATTAAGGTTAATTGACCAATGTGCCTTGATTCTTGAGGCAAAGCAGTCAAACTATACAGCCAAAGTGACTGAAAAAATGTCCTAAATTTGACACTAGATGGAATGCTTCCTTGCTACAAAAAATAGTACAAAAGAGTAAAGAAAAGCATTTTAGAGTGCTAAAATGAAGGGTATAAAGAGAACAATCAGGTTTTTAAAACATCACATTAACTGTAAGAATGTAAATGTTTTACAAGACCTGAGCATAATGATGGCTTCATATTAACATGTATTACTTGAATATAAAATTTTCTTAGGGTCTGAATGGTCTATGAAATGGTAAGATTATAGCTGAATAAAAAATCAGGTGTGGATAAAACTTTCTGTTTGCAGCTTTTGTTGGGTGTAAGCCTTAAGTAAACTAGACACCTGTTCAGGCTGCGTAACTATAAATGTCTTATCAAGTAGTAGTAAAGTAAAACAATAGTATTGTAAACATACTGGAATTATTGAACCATTTCACAGTTCATTGTAACTGGAGCAACAGAGTCTTAACAGTATTTTACTCTGTTAATTCATTGATAAAATGATAAAGGAACTTTTTTTGTTGTTGTTACTGCATACTTTAAGTAGAATTCTAAATTCTATATCATTTCACTCATTTGACATAACAGCACAATTATGGCTTCTGGTCTTTTCTGATGTGTCTTTTCTTAGCAATATATGTAATAGTTTCAGAACTACTGCTATAGATTTTATGTATGTGGTTTGCATGAAGTTGGTTTAATATAGGTGCTCAAAATTTAAATCTTCATCTGAAAATTTGTGTTTACTAACCATACATGAATTATGTCTTGCCTTTAGGGTATTTTCAAGTTTTTAATGATACTGGTTAGAATCCAGAACCATTGAATTTAATGGGAACTTAGCCTTTGACTTCAGTGGGATATGAATTGCTTCCATTACTATTGTTCTTTGTTCCTCTCAGTGATTGAAATTGTAATTTTATAAGGAATTTTTCCTTTAATAATAAGTTCATGGCCATGATCCAGTGTAGTACCTGAGCATGAGTTGATCCCCCTTCCTCCTGCATCCCCTGGCATACCATTAAAATGTGCTCTTGTGGGCTAAGAAAGCCTCTTGGAATAGATTTTTGACACAGAAGGCTGCAGAGAGAAGGGAGGAAAATTCCTAGTCCACTGACAGTGGATATCAAGGTGTACCATTGAATCATGGACCATAAGCTTAACTGTGAGTAAAACACTCTACTCCTGGAACTGTCTCACTGAAAATATCTGAAGTGTTGTTTTTTTAAATGTTTCTTTTCCTCACACATAGATTTGATGTTACAGAGTCTGAACTCTGTATTAGCATAATTCATCTTCTCACAGGAACCCTGGGACCCGGGTTCTGGAACGGCACGGTAACAAATACGAATTAGTGTCATCCAATGAACAATGGCATGGATTTTCTAGAGACAGCCCCTCTTTGTCATGCACGCTGTAACACAAAAAAAAAGACAATTATTTTCCTAATGATATTTTTCAAAACATGTTTCAATGACATTCAATCCATAATACCTAAAAGGGGAAAAAAGAACTCAAGACTGTAAAGCTCACCTCTGCTCTGAAAGAATAAATACTTTTTCTTGAAACTCTGGTATTTTCTTCCCTATTGGCTATTGTAAAACATGCAGAACTGACTTCACCTGTTTGAAGAGAAGAATGCCAGAGTGGTGGGAGCAACTCTTTGCATAAGGTCTGGATTAATTTTGTTGGAACCATCTTTGGAATAGTTCCTTCTTCTTTTTTTTGCTAGAAACCTTTCCACCAGGAAAAAGAATTGTTTAGATAATTAGTTATCTGAGAATATATCAATGTTAGAACAATATTCTTAGTCATTAGAATGTCTTGCTCTCAAGCTTAGGAAAGATCCTGTACGGCTCCTTCCTAAGAATTTGTGTTAACAGTGTTGTAATTTCCTAGCAAGCGATCCAGTTAGCCTGTCCCTAAATATTAGGAAAATAAGATTTAAGCTTTTAGATGGATATTTACCTTTCTCTTGAATGTGGAGTCCTATACAAGTTTGTCTTTTCTTTAAGATACTGTTGGTGATGCTTTGTGATTCAAATGTAATTATATTAGTAGAAATTAATGTGGGTCTTCTTATTTTCTTAAGGTCTTGCATAACTTTGCTGTTCTTTCCATGCATCTTTTCCCATTACTATTGCTTCTGAGTCCAATTAGACTAGAGATAGAATTCGTATCCATTCCCTGCTTAACATATAGGAGGTTGAAATATGCTCCAACTGTGCAGCAGTTGTGTTTGCTACAGCTACAGTGGAGCTGTATCATAATATCAATGAGAGGATACAGGTATACGTACAGTACTCAGTATTTGGTGGTTGGAGCCACAGTATAGTTGCAGTTAATGGGAAGTTTCCCTGTTATCTCCTCTACAGCAATTAACAGTGGAGAGAATACGAACAGTGGTGATAGTCTTCTCTTAACCTTTTTATTACGGTTATCATTCATTGACACTTCAGTTCTATCTCTCAGTCTTGCCACCTTCTGAAAGCTTCAGGTCTCTGTGCTTTCCCTCTTGTAAACAATGTAGAGTGGCACTTGTGGGATGAAAATGGTAGAACCTGTGGACATGAATGGCTTCTGGTGCAAAATGTCTGTTCTTAGACTATGTTTCCTAACAGAAAACTTTGAGCATCCCATCAGCTGCTCATGGGGACTGCAGTTTGCGAGTTCCTCATATAATGTGTAAGGCCTGTTTCTTTAGGAGAGAAGCTCAAATGGCAGCTCTCTCTCCTTTGTTACTGGGTGTCATTTCCCTCTGTGTCAAGTTACAATGATTGGGGAGAAGGTGTATTCAAAGTGTCACCTTGTTGTTGACTGTTTGCTTTGTTTATACATATAGTAGCTTTTTAAAAAAATTACTTTAAATTGATCTTTAAAGTTGGGCTTCTTTTCACTACACTAATGTGTATATGTCCATATGTTTTGAAAATCATGGAAATTCCACAAAGATTTTTTTAAAAAATCAGTTTGAAGCAAAAAAAAAAAAAAAAAAGGTATGGTTGCTGCTTTACTTCAAGAATTAAGGAAGCTCAAGACCTCTGATAAATCCTGCTCCAAAAACATACATTATGTTCTATCCAAATAAACACTACAATATAATCCAGTTAGCCATCCTCTCCTTATATAGCATATTATCAGTGGGGAAGAAGAGATGAAATGAAACATAACCTTTGATAGTGCAAACATCTGCAAAGAGCAGGTTTGCACTGCTGTTCTGATACATAATCCTCTGTAGGTCAATCTAGTTGATCCATGTTTTGAGGAAGGAGAACTTGTTGTGTTCAGCAAGCTTCACACTATGCAAATAAAGAGTTTTCTCCCCCTCTTTAAAGCAACAAAGAGCAGAGCTAACTTCTTGTTCTTATTTGGTATGTTCCTTATGTCCCCTTTGCATATGCGTGCAAGTGCGTGTGCGCCCCCACGAGTGCCCTCCATCCCTTTGTACATGCATGCGCACCTGTGCAAGTGCCCCCGAGCACCCCTGCCCCTTCACGCATGTGTGCAAGTGCGCCTGCGTGAGTGCCTCCCGCCCCTTTGCACATCCGTGCGTGAGCGCCCCTTTGCACATGTGTGTGATCACAGGGGGTACCTCACTCCCCCTCAACTGATCCGCAGTATCAAAAAGGTTGGGGACCACTGCTCTATATGATCTATAGTCAAGACGGATCAACGCAAGGACCACACAGAATCTCTCATATCTTCTAAGATCTAATCCTGCTTCCTACTGATACTTGTATTAAAGTGGGCCCAAAATGCAATCTAAATGTTATAGACTGGGGGTTCACACCACTTCATTTAAAGCAACATCATAGAATTATAGAAGTGTAGGATATCTCAAGTATCATTGAGGCCAGCTCCTTGCCAATACAGGAAATCCCACCTTAAAGCATCCCTGGCAGGAGGCCATCCAATCTCTGGCTTTCATTGTTCACAGCATTTCATTCTGAGTGCTCTGTTGTTTGCATCAGGCAGAAGTCATCAGGCAAGGATCCCTCCCTCTAAATGCAATGGAATAGATGTCTGAAACCAGTTCAGATTGTTAGTGTACTTCTGTTATACATTAACTGATCCAGTGTGACAATATTGTAAACAATGTGGTTGATGATAGTTTGTTAGGAACAAAAAGTCCAGCGATTATTATGCATTTGATGGATTTTACAATTTAGAAACACATGTATTCCACTAACTGGGGCTAGGAATTCTATCACTGGTATTCAATTTATTTTCTTAGCTACAGCATTTTGTCTTTCTGTCTGGAATTCAGAAGAGCGAAGTTGCTACTAGCCAGGAGATTTTTCTTCTTCATTTGTGTTGATGGTAGGGGTGATGTCTATCCATTGAAGGCCATAGTTTTCTACAAAAACTGGTGTATGATCCCATTTAGAAAATTAAGATAATCACTCACTAGAAATGGTCAAAGGACAGTGATTTTGAAAAAATGAAATAGATGTTTTGATACTTTATAGTTATTTACTTTTGTCCTTTAAAAATGAAATCCATATGTATAGGTTTAAACATTGTCAGCATTTTCCTTGTATCAAAGAAATAAGATGTGTATTACAATAGGGTGATGATAGTTTTTGTGCCAAAACTGGATATTTTCAATCCACTTGATGAATTGAATGAAGCTCTCAGAAATTCCAGACATGTTCTATTTATTATAATTAATAATTTGGTCTAGATGGGCGGAATAGAAATCAAATAAACAAACAAACAAACAAATACAATAATTGTAAAATTATCACAGTCAGCCATATAATCATCTTTGAAAAGATACTTTGTATTGCAGATGGATGAGCCATCTGTAGCTTACATAAGATTGCTAAGAGATTCCTTCCCCCCACCCTGAAAAAGTTAGAACATTTATTGGCTTATGTCTGAGCCATTTTAATTTGATCACTTCCATTTGACCAGAAGCCTCCAACCATTAAAAAAAATTACTTTTGATGCCCATGTCCATAATTTGTAATAAAAAAGCTATGCCTACCAAAACTGCCCCTCAGCCGAGAACCCTCTTGCCTCTAGGACCCTCTTGGGAAAAGCCCACTCTAGTTTTTTCCAAATGTAGCTTCTTTTTACTAACTTATCTGTTCAGTTAAATGAATTACAAATGAACATTTATACAGCCTTTACCTGTGAAAATGACTCAATAGTTAATTCTCAGTTCTTTGTGCTATATATTTGGGACAGCAGTGTATTTTGGGGGGCCATTCACCCTCATTTCATTGAGCAGGTGTTAGTATCAACATCAGTCGAGAATGATAAGAAGGAAACATCTCCATTCCTACCACTTTTGACGATTTTACAGGTAGGACGTTCTGGCTGCACAAAATTGTCAGAGTTTGGGGACTCTGTGTGCATGACAGCATAGTTAGGATGAACATTCTTTTGAGGCCTGGATTTTAACCCAAACTGGAACATAATGAAGAGGGCATGTTGCAGTGCTTTCTGCCTCTGTGAGGTAGTCAGTGTTCTTTCCTTCCATGCTAAACTCTTAGGTCAACCCAGGCCTGGAGAGCCTTGTTAGCATTTCTATTTTAGAATATTTATTTTTCTAGTATTGAAAAAAATCCAGGAGAGGACCCTGCAGGCTACAATGCTATTTACAAATAAGGCACATGTGGATTCCACAAGTGGAGCCACCCGCATTTGCCCTGGCGAGTTCCATCTTACGGTTACATGAACCAAAGACTGGCCATATGAAACAGTGGGGATTCCCCTTATATAAGCAGTGGAGAAAGATAAATGTACAGTGGTTCCTTGCCTTACGATTGCCCTGCATTACGACAAACTCACTTTACGACAATCTTTTTGCGATCGCAATTGCGATTGCAAAATGATGGTCTGAATGGGGGAATTTCACTTTGCAATGATAGGTTCCCTGCTTCGGGAACTGATTCTTCGCAAAACGACGATTTTCAAACAGCTGATTGGCTGTTTCAAAATGGCTGCCGAGTAAATAGAATGGCACCCCGCTGTGTTTAGGGACAGATTCCTCGCTATGCAGACAGCGAAAAAGGCCGCCGTATGGAGGATCTTCACTGGATGCTGAGTTTTTAGCCCATTGGAACGCATTGAACAGTTTTCAATGCGTTTCAATGGGCTTTTTATTTTCGCTTTACGATTTTTTTGCTTAATGGCTATTTTCCTGGAATGGATTATCGCCGTTAAGCAAGGCACCACTGTATGTGCAGAATATGAGCATTCCAGCCACGACTCCTCAACAACAGGATATTAGCCTTATTACTTTAGGCTTTAAAACTTAAATGGTATGTTTAATCTCTTCAAACATATACTATTGTCCTAATGCAAATATAGTAAAATGTGATATAAT